ATGCGCGTCCACGCAACCTGGGGCTAACTCACAAAGTCGATGCCGACGATGAGCTGGGCCTTTGAGCGACCCTCTCCCGCTACCTCTGCCATGTTCGAGGGCCGGTTGTAAGCCGCAGGCGGCCCATGAGCAGGAGCGCCCGGCGGCGGAGCCCCATAACCCCCGCCGTAGCCGCCCGCGCCTGGAGGGCCCTGGGGAGGATAGCCAGGCGGACCAGGCTGAGGCGGGTACCCCATGGGCGGTTGCTGGGCGGGATAGCCTGGCGCAGCCGTGTTAATGGGCGGTAGCGGACTGGCAGGGCGGCCGTGTTGTTGCGGCGGCGCACCCAGCGTACCCGGCGGAGCGTACGTGTACGAGGGCGGGCGACCCAGGGGATTCTGTTGGTTGTTCATGGGGAGCGACGAGGAGCTCGAGTTTGAGGCCTGGGGCGACAGCGACGTGGGCCGTTGGTGACCAGTTGGTGTGTTTGAATTGGCAGCAGGCTGGGGCGAGGGGTTGTGTGAACTCTTTCTCTTCGAACCCACTAGGTTCTTAAAACGGGCGTTCATGGAAGTCATCAGACTGAGAGGGAGGTCGGGCTGAGAGATTGGGGTGGGGTGCAATCAAGGATATCTGCGAGAGCTGCTGCGGCTGACAATGGAGCTGGGCACTGTCCAAACGGCCCAAGGCTGTGTGAAGGGAAGCCCCGCCAACTGGGCTGCGGCGCAGTGCCTGACGACCAACTATCAAGGATGAATTGTCTCCGTCGTATTCGGCACCAGGCGACGCGGACGCGGACGCGGACGCGGACGCAGACGCAGACGCGGACGCAAACGCAGACGAAGCTGTCTATAGCTGCTGACCCGGGCGCTTGCTGAGGACTTTGTTGCGGCGGGGTGAGAGAGTAGGGTACAAGACTGTCCACAATAGCGGGTCCTCGGCCGGTCAGCATCCTGGAGAGACGCCACAAACTAATTGATTCGCTCAGAATCAGCCACGTCCTACAAGATCAGACCAGACGCCAAATGAGCCAGGTGCCAGGTGTGAGTAGCCATGTTGTGTTCGCTCACTCAGCCTCGACCACCACAAGAGAACCCGCTCTCTTTTTCCTTTAAACAAACTCATCGTCACCTCACATGCTTACACGAGACGGACCTGACATTGCATCAGTTTGACGCTTTACACCTCAACAGTGACATTTCTTTGTTGCATGCCAAAGCGGTACTAAGTTACCGGGGTAATCTCCACACCAGGTCCAATCCATAAGGCTGGCCTATCTAATCATGCGCCACTGTAATGCAACCCAGAACAGAAAAACACGCCGTATATCCAACGCCCCAAAAAAGGTCGCCAACAATGCTCGCTGATACCATGCTAATAACTCCATCTTGATCAATCTTTCTTTCTTTCTTACTGTCTCTCAAACAATTCTGACCTTCCCTCTCAAACTATCCCACTCCCAAGCGCAAGCCACCCCAACACACCAGACGCAACCAACAACATCATAGCCACCACAAACATAGCCACCACCTTCTCCACATTATGCCGGATATCATCCGCACCCATGTAATCCGCACCAGCCTGACTCTCCTCATCGGAATCATGCTGCGGACCCGGTAGATACAGCGTCAGCGTATCGCGGTACGACTGCCTAACCGCAATCGCATACGACGGCGGCGCTTCAGCCGGATACGACGCGTCTATGAGCGGCCATGAAGTCTCGGTCGAGTGCGAATAGGTATGCGTATATAGGAGGTTCGCCAGGGGTACATCGCCCGCTGCTGGCGTGGGAGGCGGCGAGTCGCTGTAGGGTTGGTATCGCGGGGGTTCTCGGGACGGCTGGAGGTATTCTGGTATGTGAGTGCGTGGTGGAGGGGCAGAAGATGTTGTGGGTGTGGGTGCATGTGCAGTTGGGTCATCGCGGTAGGGCTCCTCGTCTGTGTAGGGGACTATGTGCGGTATTGAGGGTAGCGGCTTGATGGTCGTGGACGAGGTGGAGGAGCTGGGTGATGATGTGTCGCGTTCGCGTTGGGATGTGCTTTGCGTGTCTTCCGGGTAATCGCTATACAACTCTTGCTGTGTGTTCTGGGAAGTGTTAGTTTGTGTTCTTCGAGATGACTGCGGTTTTCGTCTGCCTACCTCCATGATGAGAGCGAGTTATGTGATCCAAACACCAACCAAACGAATGTCGACCTATTCCTCTCACGTCCAAACAGCTGCAATAAAGTTACGCGAACGTGACCGACAAACGAACGAAGACGAAAGTGAATAGATATTCTGCCCCAAAAACGAGTGGAAATGTCAATGGAAGACAGAACAGCAGTAAGCAAGCAAGCAACAACAAGAGTAGGTCGAGAAGAGAGGAGAACAAGTCGAAGAGAAGCCACACAAATCACTAATACTTCCCAAACGGTTAACCCGCTGGCTCCAAAAAAAAGAGTAAGAGAGTGATGCAACAAGTCTCGCCCAAAAGCACCAGGTACAGCCGGCTCTCTCCGTAGCACTTGCGCCGGCCCCCATCGGAAGCAAGTCCATCCCCCCAAAATAGGGACTGGGGTTAATAGCTCCCATGCAAAAGGCGTTTGCGCGTGGTTAGAACTCAAAAGGGTCCATGCTGGTTTCGCGCGTGGGCTGTGGCTGACGTGTGTCGTGTGGGACTGCGAGCGGCATGGATGAGTGTGGTTTAGCGTTAGTTAGGGCGACGACGGGCAGCACGGTATTTGTGTGGTTCGAGGTATGCGTGCTTGACGTAGGCGGAACCATAAGATTTTCATGGCTTAACTTTTATACATGACTACTCTGGGATGTTAGGCGCCGTTGCTGGCTGTGTAGGTACCAACGTGGTAGGTACAAGACAGACGCGAACGCGAACCCCCTCATTTCATCCCTCATCATCCCCCATCCCCCATCACCCGCACACGCACGCACCGCACCGCCACACATTTCACATTTCCGAAACCTCGTCAGCACTAACAAGACAAAGCTCCTCGTCCCTTTATCCATTTCATCTCCCCTCCCCCTTTATCAAACGCTTGTGTCAGCACGCGTCTGAAACACCGTACGGAGCTCGTAACACATTTTGACGGACAACGTACGGTGAGTGTATTGCAATTGCCGACTTGATACCTGTACTTGATACCTGTAGGTATGCAGAGTAACCAGGGCAAGCTTGCTTCACACTGTAGTTTTTGTTCTGGTTATTCCCGAGACGCGTGCGTTGTGATATCTTACTCGATAGAAAGGGTCCATGTATACGGTGTCGTTGTGCTGTGCAAACTGTGCTATGCTAGTAATATGTACCATACATACATAGTTACGCGCCGGCTTCTCTTCTCGGGAGCTGCAGACGCCCGAGTAAGTCCCGCGCCTCATTACTCCACCCTGCGCACTTACCACGGCAGCTCATCTTTCTCGCATGCACCTTGGACGATTGTCTAAATGGAGAAGAATTGAGAAAAAGAAAGAGATGGAATGGAAACGTTGGTCGCGTGTCATGTTGTTAGCGACCGGGGTGTTGTAACGTTGAAGCGCGGGACTAGTTAGATGGGTGGTAGGTAGGTGGCGCTGTGGGAAAAGAAAGGAAAGGAAGGATTTTTAATTTGGGCATGTGGATGGGATAAGTTAAGGTAAGAGAGGGGGGTGGGTTTGTGAAGATGTGGGATTTGTGTTAAAGATGGGTTTTGTGATTGTGAATGTGTATTGGAGGGGATGGAGATAGGGAGAACAAACTCAGAAAAAAGTGAATAATATGAACAACAACAACAACAACAGCGGTAACACCAACAAACTCAGCAAAACGCCGACCCAGTAACCCGCTGATAAAAATCTAGAAAAAGCTGACTATGCCTGCACCCGTCATCTCGGCTGATCTGTAAACCATACTCTTCACGAAGAGCGTCCACTGTCGGTAGTAGCAATGACCCTTCCGCCTCCGCCTCTCCATCCGCACCCTCTACACCAATTGTTGGAGTGGGTGAACCGTACGCATAGGGAAGAAGTTGAGGATTGACTGAGGTTGTATTGTACAAGCTATGGAAAGTTTATGTAGGTGAGTGACCATAAACAGCGCTAGTCTCAGATAGGCATCGTCCCATCACCAAACCGTGACACCAATCTGCGCCTCTGGTACCACATACGCCTCCCACGCCAGATGCCGCGCTCGTCACTCCGCAGACCCGTGCCGAAACTCCATGTGCCGTCCGCCAACGACAGGGTCTAGGCGGAGGTCGTCCATGAATTCAGGTACTGCTCGAGCTACTGGCATGTAGATTGGACGGAGTGGTCCGATCTGTGGAGTAGGAGGATGGGGACGTGGCTGGTAGATGTCGGTTGAGACTCCGCTGCTGGCATTTACCACCTGGGGCGCTCGCATCCTGTCGACGTAGTGTGGTGCGAAGGGGTTGATGGGTAGATCCTCGTAGGCGGGTGGTTGCTGGACGTCTTACTCTTCGGTCGAGATCCCGCTGAAGTCATCGAATAGAGATTGTTCGACGGGCTCATCAACAGGGAGCTGCACTTGATCTACAGCGCTCATCGAGGAAGAAGAAGAGCAGAGCGAACCGCCACGAACCACAGGCGAACCCCCTTCAGAGGAACAGAGCCCACCGCCACGCAGCACAGGCATACCCATGTCTGTGATGGCCGTGAACGACGAACCTCGACTTGGTTCGTGGCTGGCTCCATTGGCAGTACTCTGCCCCTCGTTGCGGACGGAAGAACCTACCGAGAAGCGTGAGTCTAGGGAGAAACGACGCTCTGATGCAATCACCTCAGGGACACCATCGGACAGGGAGAAACGATCAGCCGCTGGCACTACCTCCTCGGGCGAAACCTCATCTAGAGAGAAACGTCTGCTGGCTGGAACTGCTGCTGGGATATCTGGGGATACGTCGACGGGAACCTCAATGTTGGGGCTTGTGCGTGTGTGTTGGCCAGGAGATAGAGCCGAAGCAGACAACGGCGAATAGCTCATCAAACGCTGCTCCTCCCATCCAGCAAGATCCCGAGAACCTCGTTGATCATCCCGTCCTTGGAGTACGGGATCCGTGACCAACGTCAGCTGGGGCCGTTCGACTACCAGCTCAGCCAGATAGTACTCATCGGCCTCGCCACCGGGGTAGTGGCCGAGGATCCAGTGGTCCCCACCAGAAACCAGAGATTCCTGGCGAGTCGGACGGCGCACGGCATTGGAACGCTGAAGACGGCAGGGTGCCGGCTTGGGTTCTCGGGGTTGCTCAGTGAGACGACGGACCGCATTGGAACGGTGGAGGTGACGAACTGCCGCTGGGAGTGGTCGCTGGATGACCGAATCGGTAGGTTCAGACGGAACGAAAGCCTGGGGTTGAACGGGTTGAGCTGGCGCAGCTTGTGTAGTTTGACGAATCGCCTTCCCACGCGAAAGAGTGAAGAAAGATGATATCCACGCACCCGCCGAAATAGGGGCGCAAGTGCGATTCTTCTCCTTCTTCCCCAGTCCGCGCACTGGCGACATGGCCATCATATCGCGAACACGCTGAGGCTGCTCTATCTGCCCACGACGAACATCTCCTATCGCTCGGATCCGCAGATGGTTAACATAAGGATCAAAGCCCCCAACCGTCAACGGGTCCACGACCTCCGCATCCATCTCTTCACGAAAACGAGACACTCCAACCGGAACAATCTGCGGCGCAGCACGAGGGTAAACGTGCTCGTACTGTGTAGGCTCAACGGCCAAATCGTTGTTGGTATCTTGTTGAGAGTGTGACATCTTCACAGTGTCCAGAACTTCAAGTTGAGACGTTTTAAAAGTTCGTCAAGTTGTGGATGTGCGATTAAATCTGCCCTCTCAGGAAGAAACCCAAAAACCCCTCTTATATCCACCCGAACACTCGCAGCAGCGTGCGTGAACATGGTAGTGAATCCGTTGTGTGACGAGACATGGTTGGCCAAAATCCGTAAACTATTCGGGAACAAGGTTGAACGGCGACAATGTGAAAACATAGTGGGTGAAAGTAGTCGGGTGGGTAAGTGGGTATGTGTTACAACGTTTACGTGATTTATATAGTTGGCGCATAGTACTGCTGACTGACACTGTGTGGAAACGGGGGAAATTATTGGTGTGGGCAAGACACTGGCGATGTGGTAGACATGGTTGGGGAGTTTAGTGAGATTTGTGTCTGAGACAAGAGGGATGTGCGGTGGAAATGTGGTACCGATTTTGGTTCCGTGGTACTGTTGATGCGATGTCGGTGGGGGGAATCACCGCATCCAAGGGATGTGGAAGTTATATCGACGCGGCGAATTTGTGATCAAAGAGTAGCGCTAGCGTGCTAAGGTAGCGTTCGGTGATATGATGTGCTAGGCTTTGTGATCAAACGTCAGTGGTAGCTTCCAGTCTCGTAGGATGCGGAGTGATGAATGAAGCTACGCATGGTAACTTCTAGCCTTATGCGATTTGGAGTGACTATGAAGTCTCCTGTGTTAAGAGAAGCGACGGACAGGAAGGCAGGGTAAGTGTTGCCTTTGAACGTTTATGTCGCTCTTGCTCAAGCATCGCACTCTCAGCACTTGCCTACGTAGATATATAACACGCAAGCCTGTGCCAAACTTTTCTACTCTAACATCGCATTTTTCCAGCAAACCCAGTTATCATCATCCAGGTGAGACTAAGCCTCGTCGCCGTTGTCGTTGTGGTTTTTTTCTGAGCTGAAAATGCAGGTCCAGAAGTCGCATATCAGCGTACATTGCTTTCTCCGAAGTCCACGTCGTCACTTTCAAGGCTCACCGGCACTCTCACGAATACCAAGTCAGCCGTCGTCAGTCAGCATACAAAGGACACGTTCACCAGTCTACCCGTCGTCCACTCAGACAACACAATCAAGCGGTCGAAAAGATGAGGTGCAAGGTTCCGGGCACCATTGACAAAACCTACGTGAGATACCCTTGTTGCTGGCTACTCAACAAGTACTAAATCACGCTAGGTGGACACACTTCTCTCACACAAACGCAAGAGGACCGACGAAGACGAGTCGGAATTGTTACGACTACGAAACGACAGGGTGAACTTACTTGTTCAGTACCAGACGCTTAATAAAGAGAATGCAAAACTCGAGCAAAAAATCAAAGAACACGAGGAAACTATCGACAAAACAGCTACCGCTCTCACGATATATGCAGAGGCGATGGAAGCTTGCAAGCCCATCATCTTGGACGCAATGGAGAGCAAGTTCCTTGCTGAGATGAGGGGTAGCAACGCCGACGATGAAGCTCGCATGGCCAAAGCAAAGGAGAAGGCGGAAGCCGAGTACAAAACAAAGTTCGAAGTGAGCGAGATCACTGTGCACGCGCCGGTATTTGTCAGGAATAGAGGCATGGATGATTGATGTAGGATGGGTGCAGTGCGATGACATGGGTTTTGGGGCGTAGAAGGGTAACTTCTAGCATCACTCGTCGAAAACATTCGAATGAGTCAATACTATTTGTTTGCATGACAAATTCATGCCCTCTCGTTCCATCTGCGTAGATCATCCTCAGTCTTACATGAACGATGTGACTTTGCGGCCGTATGAAATCCCAAGACCTTAATTTCCCCGCAAGTCTGGTCATGCCATCCAACTGCCGCATACCGAGAAGACGCCGCATCGCTCTCAGCCACTACGGGTTCTGGGCAGTGCTGTGGCAGTGTTTGGCAGTCATGCTGGGCAGTGCGGATCCGATCTGCGGTCGTACTGTAAGCATCAGCGGGAGGGCCCGCAATCTGGGCAAGTATAGTAACACGGCATGTCGTCATACAAGAGTTAGGAGGGGTAGGCAGAACAACAAATTTGTTCTGGGATGGCGAAGAAGCAACGATTGAACATTGTGAAAGCGGGACTGGAAAGCGGAAGACGATGGACACGTGGTGAATGTAGTGGGATGGGGGCACTTAAATCCCGGGATCACGGACAAAGGCATTGAAAAAAGGTGACGAAGGAAAGAAGCCAGTTCACGATCAAAATGTTCAAAATATTCGGCGCGATATTGACTGCAGACTGTATTAAGGAAGAATGATATGTGGTCACAGCGCTTCGTTAAGATGCTGACTAACAAGGGTGGCGTAGTTGGCCGAAGCGGCTGGGCAGGGGGATCGGCTCCCGAAGGTGACGTTTGATCCCGGCAAGAAAGATGTCGCGCTTGCCGTCATTGCACCGTCGACAGATACAATTGCGACCATCGCTCCGCCCGCCAAAAAGCCATCAAAATCAAGATGTGTCGGACCGGGATGAGGGATACCCATGGCTTTGTCTGCTTTCGGCAGCGCGCGGATACGCTGACACTGCCACACAGCGGGCCTGCGGGATGACCAGGTACCGTCACAACATGACATGTCAACATTGCGGCTACATTCACAGGCCTCGAATATTCTTACCCCCATAACATCATGGCTACAACTTCTACCACGCTGCACAGTCACCAGACGCGCCGCCAAAACGCCCTTGCCGACATCCATTTCGCTTCAATTGCCGAGGGGGACCTGACGCCATCAGAGGATGAGAGCCCGGAAGAAAGAGCCATAGAGCTGGAGACGGCACAGTCAGCGATTGGCATTAGCATAGGAAGGCAGCAGACTCGTCTAACATCCCCAAAGACGCCGGCTGCTGAGAAGGCGGCCGCACTGGACGAAACCGAAGATGGGGCTTTCTTCGATAGCTGGCAAGAAACGACTGATGCGGCACTGGAACCCAAGACAACACCGCGCACAGAGACTGGCAAACCAAGCCAACAACGTGAATCGGAACCAGCACCCATGCAAACGGCCAGTAATGACCAGCGTGAAAGACAATCCGATCCCCGCGCGCGCCTGCCCTCGCCCTGGCGAGCAGGACCGAAGACGTTCCAGAAGGAGAAACCGGGCGACCACCGCTCTGTGCTCAAGGAGACGCTACAGGGACGACGTCGGGCATCTTCAGGCGGCGCCATGGGGGATGCCGTACGCAAATACTTGCCCTTTCACCTACCGTCCTCTATTACGAAGTCCTACAAAGACCTGCATTTCTCGCTTCCGAGTCTATCAGCATTATCACTCGATAGCGAACGAGGATGGCCTGCCCCGCGCACTTTTGATAGACGGAGACGCGACACTATTGCTAGCAGCAGACCACCTAACAGCATGCCACAACATAGTACTCAGGATTCCACCCCAGAAGAGCCTCGAAGCGCATCGAGAAGCCCTTCACAGACGCCACGACAGCCGAACACGGCTCCACTACCCCAGCGTGAGTTTAGCGATGATAGCACCTCCACCATCGGCCCGTCGCCTTCGGGACCCAGCGAACGACCGACCCCCAGACTACGCAGATCAAACTCGGAGGGCTCTTTGCTGGTATACCGTACAAAATCCTTCGCATCGTCCCTCGGGGATGACACACGTTTCGAGAGTGTACAGGAACAGGTCAACAGTAGACTGAAGGCAATCAGAGACAGCTGGCAAGACGCAAACTTCAAGCTGCCAAGCCCTTCGTTTCCTAATTTCAATTTGGGCTCTAGTACCGAGTTGTTCAAGAGTCGTAATGGGAGCACCGCATCGAAGACGCGCGAACCCGACCAGACGACGGTTCCTCGATCGAATTCGCGCAGCAATTTGCCTGCCACAGAGGCCCGCCGCAACTCGGTCCGAAAGAAACGCCCGTTGCCGCGACATGGAGATACGGACACTGAACCGCATCCTTTCTTCATACAAGCCCTACAAGAGCTTGAGGGAGACGTCGTTGTGCTGGGGGGCTACCGTGGATCTGTGTTGCGGTCTGCGGAACCGCCACATCGCCAACTATGGGTGCCAATCAAGGTTGGACTGAATCTACGCAAGGTAGATTTAGAAGTGCCTTTGGATCCAGATGCAGATGAGCGAATGGAGGAGAGTATCATTCCGAGTGGTATGCTCACTCACATTGGCCCTGTTGATATTGCCAAACGACTATTGAAGCGTCTTAATGGGTGCGACAACGCTAAAGACGGAAAGCTTAGAGTCCACAACTATGGTTATGACTGGCGACTTTCTCCACACTTTCTTAGTCGTCGTATGATTCAATTCTTAGAGTCACTGCCATGCAATCAGCCTGGCGTTCCTCCTGAGAAACGAGGTGCTATAGTAATCGCACACTCGTTGGGCGGTTTGATCACACGTCATGCCATCAACCAGCGACCAGATTTAGTAGCGGGAGTCGTGTATGCGGGTGTACCTCAAAGATGTGTCAATATCCTCGGTCCATTCCACAAAGGCGACGACGTCATGTTCTCTTCACGAGTACTCACTGCACAAGTTAACTTCACCATCCGGACCTCGTTTGCCCTCTTACCTCTCGACGGAAAGTGCTTCATCAACAAGCACACGAAAGAAGAGTACCCCATCGACTTCTTCGACGTAAACACCTGGAAAGAACACCGCCTATCACCCTGCATAGCAGCACCCCTGCCCCGACCCGAACCACCCAAAGACAGCAACTTCAGCGTCACGGGCCTAATGAACGCCGTCTCCCAAGCCCTCCCCACCTTCCCCCAACGCAAAAGCAGCACCGCAAAAGAAACCGCCGACATGGCCCGCAACGCCGCAAACAACGTCACAGAAAGCAGCGCCGAACAAGCCGGCATGGGCCCCCAAATGGGCCACGAGCACCACACCACCAACACGCCCACGCCCACATCCAAAGAGCCCAACCCCGTCACAAACATCACAATCCCCTACCCCGCAGCCGTCGCATACCTCACCCGCATCCTCGCCGAAGTAAAACAATTCAAACAAGAACTCGCCCACAATCCGCACCACACAGCCTCCAACGCATACCCGCCCATCGCCCTCATATACGGTAAATCAACCCCGACAGTCTACGGCGCCAAAGTCGAAAGCAAAGAGCTTATCAAACGCGCGGATTGCTATGATGAACTTGCTTTTGCGAGCGGGGATGGCGTGGTGCTTGCGAGGGCCGCCATGGTACCCGAGGGGTATAGTGTTGTTAGGGGGGGCGTGGTGTCGAGTGATCGCGGGCATGTTACGTTGTTGGGGGATTTGGAGGCGGTGGGGAGGTGTTTGCGTGCTGTTGTGCAGGCGAGGAGGAGTGGGGTTGGGTTGGGGGGGAATGGGCGGTAGGGGTGTGGATGATGGATGGTTTGTTTTAGTGAGTGGGTTTTGGGGTGGGGATTGGATTAGGTTGATGGCGCGAGATGAATTGGTTATGAAGTTTTCAGACAAGCGTTTTGTGATTTCGTGATGACAATGTGGGGTTGTGGCGTTTTTGACTATTCGGTAGATGATAGACGGTTAGACATGGACGGAATGTAATGAGATGATTTCCCTATAAGTACCGTGTCATAAATTTTAGTCTCATGATTTATGAGTCCTTGCCACATACTAGTTCGCTCTTCTCATCCCGTCTTACCCTTTCTCCCTCTCCCTCTCCCTCTCCCACGACAAACAAAGCCGAATAATCAGATAGGTCACCGGAGTAATCGGTGTCAGCCATGTAATTGACACTGCTATTTAGTTATAGTTATATCTAATATCTTCTGTTTCATCACATCTAACATGATCCATGGGCGAGCGGCGCACACGGGCGAGCGGCGCACCCCACCAACTTTTGCAACTTTAAAGCGATGCATCTCAACAACGCGATAATATTATTGCTAGATATTGATACAGTAGATTACTCTATATTAATAGTATCAGTCTTGCATGTGCGCGAGTTGTGCCCAGTCTCCTTGCACCTAGTGCAGCGCCTTTGAGCCCGCTGGCTGAGGCCTGATCGCGCTCCTCCTTGACGCTCTTCATGAGCAATCTGCTGGTCAGCCTCATTTTGAGCCAGTATATCCTCTCCAGCTCCCTTTGTGAGTACTCCATGCTTCTGTATACGCCTTTTAGAGCGCCGCCTACGCTCTGAGGCTGCGCTATTGGCCTTCTCAAGACTAGAGATCCGATCGCGCATCAGCTCAGCAGAGAGCATCATCACCTCGGCGCCCTTCTTTAGCTGGTCAATCGCCATAATAATTGAAGCTGGTGATGAGCTCTTGTGCTGGCGCACGCGCTCACGTATTAGGCTTGACTGAGCCTCAAGCTCACGCGCGTTGCTCGGCGTTTGAGCTACCCAGGGAGCCTCTGGCAGAGCTGCTGGAGGAGTAGGTGTACGCAGTTGTACATCTACCTTTGATAGAACAGCCTCTGGTTGTAGAGGAACAAGGCCTGCGCCGCGGAAGGCTGAGCAGATATTGGCTGGCGTGAACGCTTGATCAAATGCTGCCTTGAACGCTGGCAGAAACTCTAGCTTGGTGATGTGGTTGATGTGGTTGCGCATAAGGCTCTCCACCTCACGGCTGTACGCGCGCTTCAATGGCGAGAAGCAGCCAACATCAAGTGGCTGGAGTAGGTGAGATGAGTGAGGAGGCATACAGAGCGTATGGATATTGTTCTCCTTGCAGAGCTCCTGGAACTCTAGAGATTGGTGGCTCTTATGGCCATCAATAATAAGCAGGCGACGCGCGCCTACACTACGAGCCTGCGTGTGAGCGTTGAAGTGCTTTAGCCACTCAACTCCAAGCTCATTATTCGTCCAGCCATTATCGCTGACTGCGATCGCCCAGTCGCGTGGGATCTCAGCTTCCTTATACCAGGCTGATAGGTGGTACTGGCCAGCGAAGATGAGGAACGGTGGGACTGACCAGCCAGCAGCGCTGATAGCAGCGATCAGCGTTACCCACTCGCGATTGCCTGGCTGAATACTCTTCGGCCTGCCTCTCCTCTCTGCTCCTGTTATAACTAGCTGCGTTGTAATCTTGCCCATCATAAAGCCAGCTTCATCAAAGTTGTAGACGTCCTCATCGCAGATACCTAGCTCAGCCTTTGTCTCTTCTACAAGCTTAAACCACCTCTTTATTAATGTTGCATCCTCACAAAGAGCTCTCTGCCTATCGTACGCTTGGTTGAAACACGTCCGAAGACTGTCTGTACGCTTAACAAAGGTAGATGGCCAGTTGACTCCAACCTGCTCTCCACCACGCGCAGCCAGCAGCTTATCAGCCATATCACGTACAGCTGTGTAGGTAGGCGCAAATCCACGCAGATCTAGCTGAAGTATATAGCTAATAATCACCTCCTCTTCTCTCTGGGTAAGCTTCCTTGAGTTGGGCGGGCAATCGCGTCGGGCAGGTATACCAGCGCGTCGGCGGCGGAGCGTTGTTTCGGCTACGTTGTAGACTACTGCAGCAGTACGGGTACCTTGGATCTGGTGCGCATTAATAGATGAGATAGCAAGCTGAATATCTGCTTCATTTGATAGTAATTGAGTAGCGCTGCGTTGAGCCATTGTAGATTAAGATCAGTAAGGTGAGTAAAGTTGGTGGGGTGCGCCGCTCGCCCGTGTGCGCCGCTCGCCCATGGATCATGTTATGATAAGATTAATTGATCTTCACATTCACTATCACTATTGTCCATTCTTGACAGCTGTGATGTTGGCTTGTGGTTTGGGGACTGTGCTATTTTTGTTGGGTTTTATGGTGGTGAGATGGAGATATAGGGGGTCGTGGGTGATACGTGGTTGTTAGATGATTGAGAGGGTGGGGTAGGGTAGGAAAGGGTTGTTGGGTAGGCAGGGGATAGGAAGCGAAAGGTAGGAGGGGGTAGGTTAGGCGTGTTATATTGCTGTTAGTTATTAGGTGTGGATTTAAAAGGGGTAGGAGGGTGTAAGGGTGAGATTAGACTCCGCAACAATCAATTCAATCCGGTCACTCTCCTAGACCCACTTACCTATCTAGGTAGGGCTTAAACTCCTATAGGTAACTACTAGGCTTAAAGCGGTAATCAATCAATCCAATCTGAACCTTCTAGGACCCACTTAATTGATTGTTGCGGACTGTGGGTGAGATAATGACAGGTAGTGTGGTATCCGAGGTGTGCAATATGATCAGTGCTAATATAAACAATAAATCATTAATACACCGAATTAGTCATCAAGAAGTGCATAGTCTTAGCAGTATCGTAGTAAACACGCAACTTTACTGCTGACATAACTTAAGTGAGTAGCATTTGTAGTCTCTTTATACTCAAAGATGGCGATTGAGATACAGCATAGAGTACTTGGTAGATTGAATACTGTCCTACGTAGTTTTGACGCGTGAAAGACGCGTCGAGAGCAGAGTTGCCAACAAGCAAGTCAAGTTGCTCATCAAACCTGGACGCTAACCGCTAGGAGTAGGAGTTATACCTAACAAAGTAACTACTAGGCTACAATAGGTAATCAAGCAAGTCAAGTTGGACCTTCTGAGCCCCACTTACTTGCTTGTTGGCAACTCTGGTCGAGAGAGAAAGGAAACGTGTGTCACGGGGTGGTGATAGGGGGGTCGGTGGCGAACTGAGTAATTGGAGATACCGGTGGTTTTACGGCACTACCTACTTTTCACATGTTGACCTCGAGATGCTCTGGTAGATGACGATGTTCAAACTTTTCCCTATCATCGCTTGGTATCGTTTGGGAGCGATGGGTTTAGAGGCCACTGTCGCGTTTGGCTGACTATCCCGAGAACCATCAGTTACATGATATTGATGATAGCTTCTGCCGAGTATCTTCGACTCTTGTCTTGACTGTACTATTTCACGCGTCGAGAAGGGAAATTTGTGCCGCGGAGATAGAGACAGAGAGAGCACACTGGAAATTTTGACACACGGATGTTTTGCCCGTGTTGTGATAGTGTTACAACATTGGTCCCGTATTATCGAGAAGGCGGGCGAGGGAGCGGAAGAGAACGCCGTGGTGAGTCTGCAAGAGGAGCTGCCCGACAAGAGAATGATCGTGAGATTGCTAGACACTAACCAGACTGCGTGATCCTTCCGCATTGCTGCGATAGTTGCTAGTGTAGATTTGATAAGAGGGTGTTGTGTTTTCTGGATTGAATGCAGTTCTAGATTCGAACAACCTTGGTAGAAATCTCTTTCAATCAGGTGGATGATAGTTCTTCGGTTTGGATGCAGTTCTGTTTAGCAATCCGGAGATGGTCTGTCACGAGGGATGAGTGAAGAAACTTGGTACTTTTGCGACCGAGCCGTGGAGATTAGGATGGCGCCACGGGAAAGTGGATATTGAAAATCTCGATCTTTGAGCACATGCGAAAGCGGGCAATCGACTCCGCTTTGCTATATGACATGCAGTAATTCGGCAATTAACTCCGCTTTGCTGGGTGACATGGTCAAAGTGGGCAACTGACTCCGCTCTTCTGCGTGACGCTGAACCCTGGTATTCAATTGAGATGTGTCATCGGTCCCATGTTCGTTTGTGAGAAGCAGGAGTGTCGTGTTTGCGACCGAGCCGTCAAACTCGGAGATCACGATGAGAAGCACAAGTCCTGCTTGATGTCCATGGCCTCGGACGCAGCGATGTTAGCTTGTGAATGATAAGCTGCTATTGGCTCTCGGTCCCAACTTGTTGTGAGCGGCCCCTGGGAGATAAGATCTCAACGTAACGTTCGTCCAAATCTGAGCGGCATAGGTAGAAATGAGTTGTGTCCTAGTGATACATGGTGCTATGGGAAGCTTCCGGGCTTAAATAACGCACGGAGCATCGGCGGTTCATTTTGTACGTGTGAGCGCCACGGTGTAACCAGTAGGATTCACTCCCTGAGGTTGAGGTCACTTCCCTATTTGGTGTTAGCGGAGCTTGGCACACATGTCCAACCTCGTGCCGCGTTGTCCGCTAATCTCTCGGAACCTCACCATCACCATATCTTCGATTAGCGTCGTTGATTTTACTGCTTACAGCCCCAACTTCTCACTACCTCAGATGAGATCGATTCCTTCCATCTCAGGTCTGCTGCAGCGAAGCGAGATTTCCAAGTTATCCTTCGTTACGGAAGTTGGATCACCTAAGCGCGCGTATGCAGCTACTATCGTCACATCACATTGGTAGTAGCGGTGATTGGTTCACCAACACGCAGCGCGCCGAGTATTGTTGCCCAACATCCGAACATTGGTGTGTAGTCGCAAATAGTATGGGTGGCTGAAATGTAGACCTCTGAAACAAATCGAACGCAGCATCAAAGAAGTTGGGTTGAGCACGGATTCAGATGCAGGCAGCTATTCTCCGCCTATTTCCATACCTAGGCAATGTGAGGCCACTGCTGCGGCGAAAGCCAATGGTTGCTCAGCCCGGAGCTACTATCTTCGTCACAAGTCTGCATTTTTGCATTCTTTCTTTGCTCAAACTGGCTAGCCATAGGCCCTTGTCAGAGTGTTAGTCGCTTTGGTCCTGCGCTCTGACCAGGTTTGCCACAGGTTAGGATCGACTATGTGTCTAATCCACGTGAAAAACGGTTTGGCAGTTGTAGGCGAGAGTGTCACACACACTCGGGACTTTGACAAGACGGATTGCGCTGAGCCATCATAGGATTGCTCACCTCTCAGTCGCTTACGAGTCAGTACGTCTCCAAGAACTCCCAATACAGACTCCAACAGTGATTTTGTGGACATCCACGATGTGCATATTGGAGGGAGAGGCACATATGCGTTGCTCAAGCGCTAAATGCACAATGGCTGGCTTCAACAGTACAGGGGTGCCTGGCCCCAAAAACGTCCATCACAAAGCCCAGCTGGACCACAATTTAACTCTTGGCTACGCCATGGATCAGCATAGAACCCCTGTTAGTCTGGCCCGCTCGTTGTTTGTTCGTGGCCAGGCTGTGCGGGCAAGTCCGCAGACAAGGCGGCGCCGAGGAATTATGTGGGTCATGTCACTCAAGTACCACACACTTGGGATTTTAGTCGAACCCATCGATCGCTACCGTTCTTGCGTATGCTGAACCCTACCGCCATCTTGCCTCGGAAGTGTGAGGCGTAGTCGCATGGCTCGCTAATATGGCATGTCTATATTACATCGGCTTGTGCCTGCCGGTGTACCGATCAGAACAGACCCATCATTTCTGATCATCAAGCCCTTAGCTCTTCTATACTGTCTTCGTTATACATTCTCTATACTGTCATAATATATTCTCAACCTGCACCAGTGTGTCAACCTTCCTGAAGCTCAGCATCTCCGCTAAGCCTGCCGCAGTTCAATATGAGGGAACAAGTACGAGCTCAGTCATATACCTCAAGCCCATACCCATATGTGCCAGAGTATGCTGGAGTTCAAGATGTGTCACGGGGAAACCCTCACCACTCCATGATATCAAGTGCTCCAGTCGATGCTTTTGACCCTTGGGTACTTGAGGGACCTCCCTGTGGCAGCCCTCTATCAACAGCCTCTTCAATTGGACACTCCGAGTGTGTTCCTACACCTCCTTATGATGGCGTTGCTATGTACGAACCATACTTTCATGATATCCCCGATCCCTCAGTTGGCCATACTCCCTGGAAGAGCGAACCAGAGCAACTCTGGCGACCCAACTACACCGAACCAACTGCGTGGTGCTCACAGAGTTATGTGCTGTCATACCATGCAAACCCCACTCAGAATCAGCTACCTGTTCAACCAATGCATAGCTATATGCCACTACCGCGCAATTCGGCATACGATTCGTATGTAGTACATACAGACGGTTTCGTAGCTCCATACGAACCTCTCACAACTGCAAGAGCAGATTCTATGCCATTCAGGTTCAGGAGCACAAATATCAAATCCGAGTCGACCAGCAACCGAGAGAACGACAGCCAAAGCGACTCTGACTCTGACGATTCCGACAACGACGACTCAGCCTCCCAGAAGTCCTCGGCCTCAACGAAAAAGGATACCCGTGCAGCTCGCAACGTCATGAACTTGGGAAAATGGGCAAACAACGTCATCGACTTGTACAACAATACCGCACAACAACGTCTGTATGAGTGCCCCATGCACGTCTCCGGAAGCCAGTCAAAAGCCGTGCCATGTCAGAGAAGCTTTGTACGGCCCGAACATTTACGACGACACGTCAAGACGGTGCATAGTAAAGAGAGGTTGTACATGTGCAAGGTACCTGATTGTCACAGGCCCTTCTCAAGGGGAGATAACCTTCGCGAGCACTACTGGACACATGTTGAGCGCGGTGGCAGGGGCGGCAAGAACAGGAAGATGGGCTTTCCCGAGTTGAAGGCGATCCTGGGCCCTAAAGAGAAGCAGCTGGCCAAGAGGCTTAAGCGCAAGCTTGACGTGGAGACGGAGAAGATCCTGATGGGTACGAGGTCGAAGCTTTGAGTGGATGGTGTTTGGTGACCTTGCTGTGCTAGTCATGATTTGATTGTTATGGAGTTGGGGAGGCAAGTTAATATTGTGCCCTTGCACACTTCCTATATTATTTCTTTGGCAACGTATCGTGTGTAGATTTCGTTGGTGCGGCTGCGGGTTACACTTTTAATGACAAAAATGTACAATGATATCAATCCTCAAAACCCATAATGTGTTCTCTCCGATTTGATACCTAGAAAAGACGAGTAGCGTTATGGGTAGAACGCCACCTATTCTCTCATGAGTACCTAGTTCCATATTGTAATTGTGAATTTGCGTAATTCCTCGATCAAAGACACAGGTTCAACTTTGCCATCGACCGATGTGACTACCGTATTCCAGATACTCGACAACTTGGCATTGCGCCTCAGAAAAAGGCCTTAATTCCATAAATCCGATTGCACAGAAAAGCCAAGGTAGTCATTCAACCAATCACTTCAGCCACAGGAATAATTGAGAGAATCCATCTCAACCTCTCGTATCACACCTCAAATACAAACAGCGTAAACTGAACGCCTGATTTTGCTAAATTTTGCGGGTATGTTGTTGTATGCTGAATGTTCATTGCGTCAAGAAATACATGACACATCGTCCCAGGTTTCTAACAAAGACAAATCGTTTCATGTGAGCGCAAAGGCCACATTCAAGGGCCCTCGCGTGTGAATTGCGTCATGTCGAAGCCGCGACTGTTCGCCAACATCATACGATCCCTCAAAACCCGATGCGATATACCCAGCCCTCACGTGCAGAACAAACACTGATAATTTGCCCTCCCGCATGCGGGAAAGCGGAATTATGATCGATACCAGAGTCTGCATCGGCCCTAGATCGAACTCAAGAATGCGTTGAAGCCGACCCGCCACAAAGACACGATAATTGGAGCAAGAGGCTTGTTTGCGGCCAAACGCCAGAGACTGGTCCGTTCGTGCGGCGCAAAAGTCGCTTTGGCGTGAGCTGTGAGAAGTCATCACACTTCCCGCGCGCCGCGGCGCTTACACCAGCCAACGGGAGCGTGGCACGGTAGGCCAGAATCCGGCGCAGCAACCATTTTTTGTTTAGAGACTGTCTGTCCCTTTACCGCCTATTCTGAAGTACGCGAAGGCTGCACGCGGATCGGTTTTGTTCTAGGGTCGGCACTGCACTGGCGTTGTCGTGCGCTTGCACGGAGGTGGGGGTTGGGACAGGGAACATGATCAATCAGCACCAGCGTTTTTATGGCGTCGTGGGAAACCAAGAATCGTGGCTTGGAGATTTCGTACTAAACCCCCATGTCAGGTGTGGAATACGAGGTCACGAGTGAGAAAGGCTGTCGGTACATTCCGGGCACGAAGATAGTGAGGCTCCATGACCACTGTTCCCTGGCCAAAATCAGGCCTAAAACACTTTCACTATTTCTCAGATAGCAATGAATGGCAAAGTATCCGACCCAGAGATGCGCGCTAAGGAATGGATGGGTCGGCTAACAAGTCCTTTGCTATTCTAAGAAGAGCCTGACAGCAAGCCCATCTTGATGCAACTAACCTCGCCGTAGAGGTACAGCGTCTTTGAAAAGGCTACGTGAAGTGCCAAATGTCTATGCAGAACATCCTTGGTGCTTTCCCAAAGAAAACTGACCGCATTTCTGCGGCTATCTGCTCACAGGTGATCCACTTCCCCATATTAATTCCTAACAGTACCGTGATGACGGGCATGTGGGGATTGGCTGCATGTCAACCGGTGATCTACTCGCTCGCTATTCGTTCCGGCTGCAGATAATCATGAATATCCGTCCTTTGCGACGAAGCAGGTACAGGCGTAGCCTCATATGCTTAGTGCCAATGGTTGTGATGCCTTCTGACTGGTCAAGCTGGGAATATAGCGGTGACGATTGGGCATGCACACATATGCCAGGTTTAACTGAGCCTCAGATATGCGCTGAAAGTCAATGTGTTGGAGCCCAAGCCTTTGACCTCACACAGATTTAAATGATCAAATCTAGTTTGCCAACCTCACCCTAGTATCGCGAAGGATGCTGCACATGTCCCCATTCCAAGCACCTCACATCAAATCGAGTATTCAGGATTCGGGTCATGGAAACGTGTGTGTTGTGGACAACGGTCTCTACTGGCTGGCGATCAAGTCCGCGCAGGGCATGCAATGTGAGTCTGTGTTGTCCTTTCACGGATGCGTCTGTGTCTCCTTCGACGCACTCTGCATCTTCAACAGTACGCTTCAGTTGTGGTTACTGCGTCTATTGTGGGGATAGTACAATCGGCAGCCTTGCGCTTACCGAGAAAGAATTTCCAGACGCAGGTTTGACGGAACAACGAGCCCCTTGCGTAGACGTTTATCGAGACTTCCACCCACGACCCTTACCATGCAGGCAGATGATCAGTCGGCGGCCCGAGCAGTGGCTGTAACCATGTCGGCAGTGTCCACCAGTAGGATAGTTCCTCCCTCCCGATTTTCTTCCAGCCAGGTCTGCTTATCAACGTCTGGGTGAGCGATGCGGCTGCTATAAACCCGGCTTCCAGAACAAACCGCCCTCTAAGCATTGTCGTTGAAGTTAACAATAGAACCAACATCATACCCTACGTTGTAATGGCGTTTACCGTCTTGGTTCACCGCTTCTGATGTTGCTACCCCACAGAAGCGTACACATGCGTGCGGCACTGCTCACACCGCCTCCACATATCGAAGTCCTCTCCCACCACGCCACCTCAGCCTTGAACCCGGGCATCATACCAACGCTTCTATTCTTGCGCATGACCCGACTGTCGGCGCGTAGTTGTGTCCTGGGGTTATTTGCTAGTGCCAAATCTGCATGATGTAGGTATAAGCAAGTCGCCATACTTGTCAACGAGCGAGCCGGCTCGCTCAGCTCGCTCGGCTTGGACGTTTTGACCAAGCCGAATGAGCTGAGCGCGCAGTGCGCGCTTGCAAGCCGAGCGAGCTTAGGGATAGGCGCTCGCTCAGTCAGCTTGCTTAGCTTGGTTGGATGGAGCGGTTGGAAACTTGGGGCTGAAGGACTTGGTGGAGGGGCAATCTCACGATGATTTTTAGGTGTAGTGCGTAAGTTCGAAACCTAGTTATAACCTAAAATACACTCTTTTTTGCTATATTTCTAGCAAATAAGCTACTAAATTTCCGGCTAACGGCCTGGCAACAATATTCTCCTTCTGCGACACTTCACTTACTACTTATCACCCACCACACTCACCTATACTCCACCAACGCGTCTCTATTTGCAGCTATTATCTACCTCGCCGTTGCTATAATGCCAGCAAAAAGAACATGCGTTAATGCTCTAGAAATCGCGACAACTTCGAAGCGCCCTAGAGTCGCAGCGCGTCATCGCGGGACTGCCAGCCAACCTGTGCTAGTCGATACTCAGCCATTCTCACCATCTCCACCTCCTCCACCGCTGTCGCCGCGTCAAGCTCTCGTTGCCGCGCCACAAGCACCAAATTTTGAAGCGACCCTCCGAGAGTCGCGCGCCGAAGAGACGATCATCCCACCACCTAAGGGCAGCGAGCATGCCACTGTTGCAGCTTCAGGAGCAGCTAGCGAGGCTGTCGACAAGGGTTTCGTATAGGTAGAGGACAAATACGACGGCTTTAATTAGAGTCGCTACCCAAAGCACTGCAAGCCGCCCACATCACTTTCGAACCGAGCAAGCTGGGTATACAGCCATGGCTATCGCATCGCCTTGCGCAGCAACGTCGCAAAAGTTACGTGGATCTGCCACTATTGCTATAAGCACAAGTTCACTACTGTTGGCCGTGGCATACATAACGTCTCGCAGTCTCCATCAGCGCCAGCACGTCATCTCGGAGAAGACAAGAAAGTTCATGGCTTGAAGCCTCCAAGTAAGCGCACTACCGTCGCTCCTCGGAAAGAAACTCTCCTCGAACGCGCCCTTCAGAAGGGCTGCTCTTAGGCTGTTGCCAACGAGCTTACCAACTTCAATATACAAGAGTTTAGGCTTGCGGCCGTTACCTAGCTCGTCGAAAACAACCTCCCACTCTCACAATTCGAATCATCGTCTTTTCGCAATATGATATAATTAGCTAGCGTAGAGGCAGAACGAGCCTTGTGGGCATCTTATAACAGCGTCTCACGATACGTTATACGCCTGTACAACTACCTGTTACTAAAGGTTATCGCAAGCCTTTCAGAATCAATGAGCAAAGTCTATGTAAGCTTTGACGGATGGACGACAAAAGGTGGCAAGCGCGGTTACTTAGGTATCGTCGCCCACTACGTTGATAGCTCTGGCGAGCTCAGGGACTTGCCTATTGCGCTCCCACAACTGACAGGTGCCTACACCGGCGAGGCTATGGCTGAGGTCGTGATGGCAATATTCAAGCAGTTCGAAATCACTGTGGGCAAGCTCGGTTACTTCGTCCTCGACAACGCACATAACAACAACACCACGATTAACACTCTCGCCTTGCAGATAGGCTTTAGCGCTACTGAGCGTCGCCTTCGCTGCGGTCCTTATACGCTTAATCTCATTGGCCAGATGCTACTCTGGGGTGAGGAGAAAGAGTCCTACGACAACGAGGAGACTGAGCGCGTGAACGAAGCTGAGAATATGGCTACTTGGCGAGGCGATGGACCATTAGGAGTGCTTGTCGCGGTTATTAACTACATCAAAACACCACAACAGTACGCTCTTTTTGAGAAGTATCAGAAGCTCGCTATTAGGGACCAGCCTGTCAACGCGCCAACAGAACAGCACAAAATCAAGGAGCCCGTTAAGCTAGTTGTTACTCGCTATAACTCTTACGTTTCGTGTTTTAAGCGCGCTGTTGAGTTGTAATTAGCGGTTAATAGGTACGCCAACTACCATATTTAGAAGATTGAAACTGAAGACGCGTACGCCCGAAGTCGTAACAACAAGCTGCCTGCAGCGCCGGATTGGATGAGTTCTGATGGGATCAATGCCCATGACTGGCAGGTGATTGCTGAGTATATTGATGGTCGAG